AATTACATACTTACTTGCTTTACCCTTGCTGAGATAGAGGACTACTTTTTCATGTTTCTTTGAACATCTAGTACAGTGTCATACACATGTTATGCCTTTTTTCATTCATTCAACAAATAGTTGTTGGGCATCATAAATGCACCTCTCCTGGGTTCAGTGTTTACTGTAATAAACAACCAATCCCTACTTTGCTTGATGAAAATTTGCTAAACTAACTTAATTGTATTTACCATGCATTCAGCTTGCACACAAAACTGTAAAATGCATCTCATTCATCTCCAGCAGTGCCAGGAAATTTACCTGGGCATGTAATAAAAACAGCCAGCCTAAACTGTCTGATTAAATAGAACAGAAATATATTATATAGCATCTGAGATGCTACTAGTGACATCGCCTCTACTGAATGTGCCAACATCCTATTGAACACATCCATGTGGTCTTCAAAAACGTATATTTTGTGCATTTAAAAATCTGTCTCATTCATTAGCCTCGGAACCCAAGAGTAGCAATTATGTATTTTTCATCTTTGCATTTGCCTCTGCTTTCAGGAATAGCTTAAATGCCTCAATTTAGTGGATGTTCAATAAAATAATTATTGATAGCGTGAAATAGTGGAGAGGACAGTAAAATTTTTAACTAGCTCTTGTAACTAATATTTCAAAAATATATCCACAGACTATATTGTTATTCATTAGGCAGATATTGAATGAATATCTGCCATGTACTATTACTAACCATGCTAAGTGTTATCATGTAGCATACATACTATGCTGCCTCGCTTTGACTATACCTGGAATGTAGCATTCTGTTTTTCTCTTTCTAAGATTTACAATTCAAGAGGCCTAGGGGCAAATGGGAAATGCATTCGGTGTAAGACAACCAAGTTATGAGAAAAGGTGCATTTTAAATATTAGCCATCGCTAGACAAAAAGCTGAATTTGGTATTAGTTTATTAAATCTAGACCCATGGGTTTTCCAAGTTAGCTTCTTTCAATATAAATTGAATTAAACCTTGAACACTGTGGGGGAAAGGACTAAAAAGTAGCCAGCTGTCCTAACACAGGCAGAGTTCTGTTTTCTGGAATCACTGCTTATTCTATACTTGAACTTAATTTCACATCTGTTGGTTAAAAATTCAGCTAGTAAATTAGTCTGGTAACCAGCTTCTTGTATAATTTCTGGGAAATATGGTCATTAAGACAAAATCGTTTTTAAATGTATCCTTCACTGATGTTATAAATTCTAGCAGCTTTCCTCCATGATATACTGGCATTAAAATCATACTTAAAATTTATGTGTTCTAAATAAGTAGATTAGAAATAAGCATTTATAAATAACACACACACATATCAGAAAGCTAGTTACTACTATGCAACACTACAGAAATGAATTTATTGTATTAACCTTATATAAGAAAGAACCTGATAATAAATTACTTCAAAAATCCCTTTGGATAAAAGTATTCTAAGACTGTCTTAGTGTATTTGGGCTGCTATAACAAAAATATCATAGAACTGGGTGGCTTATAAACAAAATAAATTTATTTCTCAGAGTTCTAGAAGTCCAGATCAAGGCCCTGGAAGATTCTGTCTGGTGAGAACCCACTTCCTGATTCACTGATGGCTGTCTTCTGTGTCCTCACATGGCAGAAGGCGCAAGAGAACCTCCCAAGTTCTCTTTGATAAAGGCACTAATCCCATTTTTAAGAGCTCTACTCTCACGATCTAATCACCTCTTAAAGGCCTCACCATTAAATACCATCAAATATTGGAGGTTAGATTTCAACATGAATTTTGGGTGACATTCAGTTTATAGCATCCCACCCTGATCAGAACAAAATTCATGTTCTTCTCACATGCAAGATACACTCATTCCATCTTAATAGCCAAAAAGTCTTAACTTGTTCAAGCAACAACTCAAAAGTCTATGTCCAACATCTCATGTATATCATCTAAATCAAATATGGGCAAGATCTGAGTTATGACTCATCCTGAGGCAAATTGCTCTCTAGCTGTAACTTGTGAAACCAAACAAATTAGATGCTTCCAGAATGCAATGGTGGGACAGGCACAAGATAAACATTCTCATTCCAAAAGGAAGAAATAGAAAAGAAGAAAGGAGTGATAAGCCTCAGAGGAGTCCAAAATTGAACAGAACAAATATTAAACATTAAGCCTCAAGAATAATCTTTGACTCAATGTTCTCTCTTCCAGGCCCACTGGGGTGGCCATATCACCCACAAGGCTAGGCAGAATGGCCCCAGTAGACTCTATGCTTGGGCCCTAGGACTCTTTAGGGCTAGACTTCTAAACCTGAGGCAATCCCAGGGAGTCTCAAGCTTTGAAATCTAGGTAGAGGTGGCCATGTTCCCTTGGACTATGCATTCTGCACTCCAGCAGTGAAGGGGTCACAGGGATACCACCAAAGTTTGCTGCCTGTGCCCACTGGAGAGGTGGCTGCTGAAGCCCATGCCATACCAGGGCCTGCCAGAGCCACATCTAGGGTGACAGAGGGCATGGCACCAGAGTGCAGAGAATGAAATCCCCATGTGAGGTAGAACCAGACCGTGTATAGAGGTTCCCACAGGTGCTGGTGGCCTCTCCTTTGAACTGCTGTGCCCATCAGGCCCTTGTACTGGGACCTGAAATGTGAGTGGCAGCTCTGCTGCTCACTGAATTACTTTTGGGGTCATTCTTCTATTGTCTTGGAAAATGATGCTTCGCTTCCCTTGAGAATGCTGACCCACATTAATCTCCTTGGCCACATCTTTAGTGTTGTCATTTTTTACAATATGGATAGGCTAAGAAGTTTCCAAATCTTTAAATTCTGCTCCCTTCTCGCTTAACAATTCCATTTTCAAATCATTTCTCTCTGCTCCATTTTACTATAAACAGTCAGACGGAGCCAAATAACACCTTTAACACTTAGAACTCGTTTCAGCTAAATATTGTTTCACTGCTTGCAAGTTCCACATTTCACAAAATACTAGAACATGAATACAATTCAGCCAAGTTCTTTGTTACTTTAAATGATAACTGTCTCTCCTCTAGTTTTCAATAACCTGTTTCTCATTTCCATCTGAGACCTCAACAGAATGGCTTTTACCATCCATTATTTCTAACATTCTGTTCAGGATTACTTAGGCATTCTCTAAGAAGATTGAGGCTTAAGCTACAGCTCTCCTTTCTTCTCTCTGAGCTCTCACCAGAATCATTTAAAATTCTGTTCATGGCAATCTAGGCTTTTTCTAGAATACACTTCAAAACTCTTCTAGTCTCTACCTGTTACTCAGTTCCAAAGCCACTTCCACATTTTTAGGTATTTGTTAAAGCAGTACCTTCCTTCTCAGCATAAATTTCTGTCTTAATCCTTTTGGGCTGCTGTAACAAAAATACCATTGACTAGATGGCTTAAACGACAAACTTTTCTTACAGTTTTGGATGTAGGAACGTCCAAGATAAAGGCACTGGCAGATTATAAGGGCATTGTTCCAATTCATGAGAGCGCCATCCACATGAGCTATCATCTCCCAAAGGCCCCACCTCCAAATACTATCACATCGGGGTATTTCATAAACTTCGGGGGAATACAAATATAGTCTATAGCAAAGACTCAATCACAAGTCAAAAAATAAAACAGTATTATTTTACTATAAGCCATTTTATATTTATTTAAAAGCCAAAAACAATACAATGAAGCTTGAAAGTACACAAATTTCAGAGAAGAGCTTATTTTTAATCAATCTCACCAATTTTACATAATGAAATATCATTAAGAAATATAGAAAATATAATATGAACTGTAGTATAAAAATACGACACATTACTGTTAAAGAAATAATAACTGTAAGAGACATGTTAATATCACAAAAACTTTAAACAAATTTAAAATGTCAAATGCTAAAAATGATTTTTTCTTAGTATTAAGCAGTAGGTCTTGGAATGAGATGTAAGCTAGTAAAAATGAAAAGTTTATGTGAATAAATTTTCTAAATACTAATTGTCTGATTTTCTATAGAAAATGTCAGGCATTATTATAAGAAATAATATATACGTTTAAAATTATATATAAAGTAATTACTATTTTAGAAAGCAGTAACTTTTACATAGTTTTTAAAAATCTAGTAGTCATGCATAAAAATGAACATTACAAGAAATTGAGTAAAACAACTTTTACCATGAAAGATGAATGTAATTAAAGTGAGGTACCTTTCTTTCATTCCAGTAAGAACTGTGGGTAAAGGCCCTCATCTCAGAATATCCAAATCTAAGAGCACTCATGCTTTCTTTATTTAATAAGGAACAGAAGACTACATTCCATTCTATGTACTGTCTGTGTTCAAAGAACACAATCCATATCCAAATAGGAAACTAAAGTGCAACAGAAGCAAATGGATTTATCAGAGTATATTCACTAACACTTTGCTGCTATTAGTTAATATAAACAAATACAATTTATACTTTAACTATGCTGATCCAATACAAACAAGTTCAATTTATACATAAACTACTTTGATCCTATACAATCTGTACTGATAAGTTATAGATTCCAGATAAGATGCACATTCACTTTTATTTTCTTTGCATAAATACAGATTTATCTATTATTTAAAAAGCAGCAAAGCAATATTAAGCAGTATCAGAATTTGTAGTTTTTGCTTTTACAAAGTGCTATACAGACTGTCGCATTTCAAAATTAAAAAAATAAAACACTGCAGCTCTTGCAATTAAAACAGCACAGTGATTATCAGGGGTCTTCTTGAAAGAAAAAACAGTTACCGCCTCTGTGTCACATCAAACAAGATACAAAGGTTCAATAAGCAATCTTAGAGATTGGAGCAAATATATTTTGCATATAATGTATCTGTTACCAAGTGAGGTTAAATGTATTAAATGCAAGCTTTTAGAGGGGCATTGATGTCTCTAAGTTGCTATCAGATCCAGATTGGCTATGTCCCTAGTCACCTCTTTTCCTGATAGTCTGACCTTGTCTTCATATATAGGGCAGCTCTTGATTGTTCATGCTAGTGAATGAAGGAAGAGACATGGAAAACATACACCTTATGATTAAAAAAAAAAAAAAAATTTAATACGATTAAATTTTCCATTGAAACTTTTATCAATTTTACAAAATGAAGCTTTGATATATGTGCAGAGGTGAAATTTTCCTTTCCAATAAAATATCTGTCTGCCTCCCTTTTGTTTTTAAATAGAAAAAGTGTCATTCTTTTTATCTTGAATTAAATTTGTCTTCGGCAATAGGATATGTTGATGGACATTATCTATTAATGTGAGAGTGCTGAGATTCATTTCCCCTATCTCATGTTCAAATGTTTTCAAGCTCATTGTATCTATATTTACTTGATTAATGAGCTATAGCTTTTTCAGGATGAACTCTTCATCTACCAAGTAGGCAAGTAGACACTCAATTGAAACACTTGTAAGTATTCTTAATCTCTCAGTCTACCTGTCCAAGCTAACACCCAATAAAAATAATCTGCAGAAGCAGATAAATATATTTGCAAATAATTGAGGGTTGACTGTAAGCCTAATTCAACTTTTCTAATATTTTTTTTTTACCATAATTGCTGATTTGCTGTGTCCATCTATCTTGAGGAACGTTGTGGTGGAGATCTTTCAAAATACATGAAGTCCTAAAATTGCAAAAGTAATTATATATATATGGAGAGAGAGAGAGAGTTATATGTATAAAAGTAGATAATTAAATGCAATGCACAAAGTATTATTCTGTATAACTTATCTGGCAACCCTCCTATTTCAGCTAAGAATAAATAAATCTACAGAATCTCAGTCCGCTCCCACCTCCAATCCACAAGACTTAAACTGAATCAGAATTCGAATTTTAACAAGATTCCCCCAGGGATTCATATATGCAACAAAGTTTAAAAAGAACTGAAGAAAAAAAAAGAATAAATATAATAAATCTTTATAAAGTGAACCTAATATCAAGAGCATCAACTACAAACTTAAAATTGTTGGTAGCCAATAAACTTTCCATTTGGAGTACTAAATTTTTATTATTAAAAGGAGGAACAATTGATAATCAATATTAAATATGTTAAATGTACTAATTATAATATGTTAATTAGGTTTTTAGGGTAAATATTGTCAATTTTATTTCTATGCTTTACTTATGAGTATTAACCATTAATTAGTCAGAAATATAGCAAAGGAATTGCACCTATTAAATCTAAGGGTGGTACAACACCAAGGAGTACACTAACAGAGAGGCAGTAAGGTAGAGAAAAAGAATATCAGTTTTAGAATTATTTTATTCCATTAAGAAGTCACAAGACAAGTATTTTTAAGTAGTGAAAATAATAACATGCAATGATGACAATTACATCCATTGGACGTCTAATATCTCCCATGCATTCTCCTGGCCTTTTTATTCATATGATAGTTAATATTCATAACTCTGAAAAAATATAAATATTTTATCTCCATTTTACAGAGGCTTGCAAGTGTTAAACACTATAAAACATGTAACTACTAAGTGGTAGAGACAGAAGTTGATCTAGTTTCAAAGCTTATTGCCTTTCTACTATTCTACACTACTACTCATCAGAGAGAATAATTCTCTCAGGATAAATCAAAAGCGAAAGACTTACAATGAGGAAGCAAGCTCCAAAAATCATGGCTTTCATCTTCACATCCAGGTCTAAAGGGAAGTGAATGTCAAAGTGGTCAGCATCACCCATTGTTGACATCAAACCATTCCACTTCCTAATAATATTGCCTATGTCGGATACACCATCGAGGGCTTTGACCTAGAAAGATAAGAATTTGACTTCATGATAACTAAAAATATATATAATACATGTTTTATCCTATTTCCAAGCAGCTTACACTGAGATAGCATAAACATAGTGCAGGAAGTGAATATAGTAATAACATAATTTCAAATAGGAAATTAGGGCCAAGAAGGATTAACTATCTTGAAACCGATTAATAACCGAGCAGGAGTATATCTTATACTTCTCAAGCTGGTGTTCTTTCTTCATCAAGTGAGTTATTAGAGAGGTATGATTTGAACTGATCTGAAGTTCTGTAGTATAGTAGCAAAGGGAGGAATTGGGGATTGGGAGGTAATCTTCCACAGTAGCAAAAGCCATGAAGAATGGTTCTGTACACTTCACAAACTCCATATAAACAATTAAGTTTTTGTAGGCCAAACAAACCTATGCTGTCTTCTTAAATTATGCCAAGAACCTGAAGGACTTCAGCTTCTAAAAGGGAAACTCTGGCACTTGCCAGAGTAAAATACTCGGATACTATCTTTTGGTGATCAGAATTATCCCACACATCCTGACCCTGAAATTTGGCTTATTTACATTTTCCATTTCTTTACATTGTCTTTTAAAAAATGATGTCATGGTGATGTAAGGAAAGTTTATTTTGTGTCACAGGAAATACCCAAATGAGCAATTTTAGATGATGAGCCTTGCTGAATTGCAAGCAGTCAGAAAGGACTCTAAGAAGCTCGGGAAAAATGTCTAGGAATCTCCTTTGCCAGATTCACAGGATTATAAGCAATCATTTTATATCCAAAGATAAAGGCAAAACAAAAAGATGTTTTTCTTTTTCCTGAGAAAATGTTATAACCTATTATGAGTTTTATTCATGTTTTATCAGTGTGGTCATATTTCTTGAGAACACAGATAAACTACTATCCTGCAAATAAGCAATTTTCAGAACTTCAGGGGTGTCTACATGTTCTGTGCTATTTTGAGGACGTTCATTATGCAGGACCTATTTTCTATTTTTGGAAATCTTTGATTAAAAAAATGGTTAATTAAATACAAGTAAGAATAAAATGAATAATGTCAGGTTATTTACTAGATTATGTCAGGCTATTTACTATCAGGTTTAATGTTTTAATAGTTTCTCTTATCTTTATCAAACATTGAAATCATAAAGAAGGAGCTCATATTTTGGAAAATATTAAGCAATCCACTATCAATAATTTGAAAATCATTTGATGTCAACCAGTTAACTCTTTCTTCATACTACTATATTCATTCACATGAAAAAATCAATTAAAACGAAATTATTCTGAGGTATGTTAATACATGTAGCAAAAAAAAAAATAGTTAAAAGCATTATTTTTACATTTGTTTACCTCAAAAACGGAATCTGAACCACAACCATAGGTTGAACATGGCCCACGCACTCCCATCACATTTTCTTTCTTCTCATTTTGAATGCTGTAAACAGCTCTGCACAGGTTCCAGTGTTCCATTACAAAGCCAATGGTGACACCAGGAGGACACTGTACCTCCAGCTACAAATGAAGCAGTGACAGAGAAGAGGATGCTACATACATACATATATAAATACACACAACTTAGATATGTTCTTAATTTGTTTAAGGACCGGGGAAATTATTACTGGGAAAGCCTTCCATTTTACTCAGGCTATTTCTTAGGCTTGCATTTCAGTGAACAGTCTTGACAGAAAATGTCATGCTTCTCTTAGGGACAAAATTACTACTTATTATATAATGGCCAGTTCTCCAAGCTCAGTGTTTCTCAGCTGTATACATATATATAGTATCTGCCTGGGTTTCTTTGAATCGACCACATAGAACTGGGGAACAAGAGTACCTAAACAAATATGCTAATGCTCCTGCTGCTTTCTGTGTTGTAATGAAGATCTTTGTCTCTGATATAGGTGTCTCAAGTCTTCTGGCACAGTATATAAAACAGTAACAAGCTAACTTCTTAAATTTAAATCTCGGACATGAAAATTATAATAGAAAACAAAAAAAGAGGCATTCTGAAAACTGTATATTGGGAAAACAATAGAACGTTTTGGGTATATAGAGCCATTTTAAAAGAGTTTTAAAATACTGCCCTCTACTCTCTTTTTAGCTAATTATCTTTACAATATTCCTTTGTGAAGAACTAAGATCTTTATATTGAATAATAACAAGTCACAAAATTAAATTATTTGGTAAAAGACCAATGAAAAGTTCTACTGGCAATTTTTCTGTGTCATACATACTTTCCTAAAAATTCTGAGTCCCATAGGTCTGTTCAGGGGCAAAACTACACAGCTTCATGAATTGTCAGATCAAGATATTATTGTTCAAATAATAATAATAATATCCAGAAGATCAAGATGGAAAAGTAGGTAAATGTTGTACTTGTATTCTCCCAGGAGCATATAAAAATTACAATTAAACTACAAAACAACCATCATGAGAATCACTTAAAGTCTAGCTCAATAAAAGTCCTACAACTAAGGACATACTGAAATTGTCATTTCAAGACAGGTAGGAGAGGCAGAGACACATAATAGGTTGGTCCCACACTGGCATGTGATAAAAATCAGAAGGGCTATCTCAGCCGTAGAGATCCCCCTGAAAAGGCAAAGGATCCCAGCCCCAAAACAGGCTGCCCAGCCTAGGGTTCCAGTGTTAGGAAGTCCCCATGACTCCTTGCTGTGAAAACCAGCAAAGTCTGTGACTGAGTGAGGCAGAGGGCTGCTACAGTCCCAGGAGTTCCTCTTAAAGGGTCCACACATGAAATACCCACTGACGGACTCACTTGCTCTGAGCTCCAGAGCTGGGTCAGCAGCTGGAAAGACAAGAGGAACATACTGGGAGGAAATGAACTGTCTGTCTTCAGGGCAAGGGCTAGAAGAGCAGTATTCTCACAGACAGAAGTGCTGGCAGAAGCCATTGTTCTTTTGTTGAGCCCTCCTCTCTCCAGGCCTGCCTCCATATCTCAGTCTCCTTCAATCTGGCTAATACTGGTCACCTGGCCATGGTGATTCACTGAGACCCCACCCACCCAACAAGCAAGCCCATTCAAGCCCCCTCCATACAGATGGCCAGTCTTGGATTATGCTGTGGATTTTCCTAAAATTTCTCACACTTTCACAAAACTCAAATAAGCAGATCTGGCCATGGCATATCCCATACCTCTTGCTAAGCAGGCCTAAGCCTGGCACTAGAGGCAGCCAGCCTTAGTTCACAGTTGTTCTCTCAAGGAATTCAAGCCCAGCAAGGGTAGCAACCATCTGGATTGCTTTATGGCTCAAGCCAGGTGGTCCTGGGCAGGGCACAGGCTGCAGCTAAACTTGGATAAACTTTGCCTGTGGCAGGGCCTCTTCCAGGAGGTCCAGGAGCTGGCACACCTCACCTGGTAGTTGGCTTCAGTCAGAACCGAAGCACCACTCCGCAGCCTCTAAGGATGACACGTCCAAAGGGCAGACTGGGCAGACACCAGAGCCCTGCTAAAATGAATCTTGCTCTGTAGGGTCAGAGCCTACACAGCAGCATCTTCACTGTAGCCATGGTCAGTCCTCACAACCAAGGGATTATTGTGCAAATAGCAACCAAGGCTCAACTACAACAGGAGGGTACACACAATCCACACCAGAGATTGCACCTGGCTCAGGTGACCAGGGAGACTGCACCACTGGGTCCCACCAGACATCTACTACATAAGGCCACTCTACCAAGACTGGGAGACATAGCAATCCTACCTAATACATAGAAACAAACACAGGAAGGCAGCCAAAATGAGGAGACAAAGAAACATGTCCCAAAGAAAGAACAGAACAAAGCTCCAGAAAAAGAACTAAATAAAATAGAGATAAGCAATCTACCAGATGCAGAGTTTAAAATACTGTTAGAAGGATGCTCAATGAATTTAGAATAAGAGTAGATGAATTCAATGAGAACTTCAACAAAAAGATAGAAAATATAAAAGTGGAGATAGGAAACATAAAAAAGAACAAGAAAGAATGAAGAATACAATAATTGAAATGAAAGACCAATTAGGAGGAATTAACAGTAGATTAGATGAAGCAGAGAATCAAATCAGTGATTGAGAAGACCAGGTAGCAGAAAACACCTAATGAGAACAGCAACAAGAAAAAGAAATCCAAAAAAATGAGGATAGTTTAAGGGTCCTCTGAGTCGAATGTACCAACATTTGCATTATAGGGGTATCAGAAGGAAAAGGAAAAGAGAGCAAGAAAATGGAAACCTATTTGAAGAAATATTTATGGAAACTTCTCTAATTTGGAGAAGGAAATAGACATACAAGCCCAGAAAGCACTGAGAGTACTAAACAAGATAAATCCAAAGAGGCCCACACCAAAACCCAGCAGAATTAAAATGCCAAAGGTGAATGACAAAGAGAGAATCTTAAAAGCAGCAAGAGAAAAGCAATTAGTTATCTAGAAGGGAGCTCCGTAAGACTTTCTCAACAGAAAGCTGATTTCTCAACAGAAAGCTGATTTCTCAACAGAAGCTCTGCAGGCCAGAAGGGACTGGTAGGAAATATTCAAGTGACAAAAAGCAAGATTACTCTACCCAGAAAAACTATCGTTTAGATTGAAGGACAGATAAAGAGCTTCCTAAACAAGAAAAAGCTAAAGAGGTTCATGAGTATCAAGCCAGTATTACAAGAAATGTGAAAGGAACTTCTTTAAGAAAAAAGAAAAAAAAGGATAAAAAATATAAATAATAAAATGGCAACAACTGCACATCTATCAACAATTACTTTAAATGTAAATGGATTAAATGCTCCAATGAAAAGACAGAGTGTCTGAATGAATAAGAAAACAAGACCTTTACATATGTTGCCCAAAAGAGACTTACTTCATGTTGAAAGACACACACAGAATGAAAGTAAAGGGATAAAAAAATATTTCATGAAAATGGAAACAAACAAACAAAAATAACTGCTGGGGTAGCAATATTTATACCAAACAAAATAGACTTTAAAACAAAGCCTATAGCAAGAGACAAAACTGGACCCACTAATCCCACTTCTGGGGATTTAACCTAAGAAACCCAAAACACTACTTCAGAGAGACATGTGCATCCATATGCTCCTTGCAGCATTATTTACAATAGCCAAGATATGGAAGCGACCTGGGTGTCCATCAATGGAGGCATAGATAAAGAAGAGGTTGTACATATATAAACCAAAATATTACTCAGCCATAAAAAAAGAATAAAATCTTGCCATCTGCAACAACATGGATGGGCCTAGAGGGTTTATGCTAACTGGAGTAAGTTATAGAAAGACAAACGCCATATGATTTCACTATACGTGGAATTTAAAGAACAAAATAAACAAGCAGAACAGAAACAAACTCACAGATACAGAGAACATTTTGAGGGTTGCCAGATGGGAGGGTGTTGGACAGATGGGTGAACAAAGGGAAGGGATTAAGAAGTCCAAATTGGTAGTTACAAAATGGTCATGGGGATGTTAAGTATCGCATAAGGAATATAGACAATAATATTGTAATAACTATGTATGGTATCGGATACTAGATTTATCGGTGTTATCACTTTGTAAGTTATACAAATGTGTAATCACTACGTTGTACACCTGAAACTAATATAAAATTGTATGTCAATTGTAATAGAAAAATAAAAATTATTTAAAAACAGATATTACTTTTCATATATATACAATCACAAATATACAAACATAAATTTGATACCTTCCTAAGACTGAGATCTCATATAAGTTTAGGGTTGAGATAAAAATCAAAACTGCATACAAATAAATTTTTTAAAGAATTCATATCATTCAGCCATAAAAATGAATGAATTATTAATACATGTCACCATTTATATGAATCTTAGACAATTACACTGATTGAAAATAGCCAGTCCTAAAAGGTACCATACTATATGATTCTGTTTATGTGACATTCTTGAAATGACAAAATTATGTAGATAGAGAACAGATTATTGTTTATAAGGGGTTAGGGATAAAAAAAAAAAAGAAAGAGATGTAGATGTGGTTATAAAGGTTTTTTTTATGGTGTTAGAACTATTTGATATTTTAATTGTAGTGGTGAATACAGGAATCTACATAGTAGATAGAACTAAATATACGCACATGAATATAAGTAAAATTGGAAAATCAGAAAAATATCTAGATAATGTTGTGAGACAAAAATTCCATATATGGCCTAAAGCTGTAATATTGATTTGCTTTACTCTATCCTGGCTTCCCATAACCTTGAAGGCTGCTCTTAGAGGCTTTGATTTGCAAAGCCAAAGTCATAAATATGAAAAAAAAAATGCTTACTATACAAAAGAATCAAGGATAAGAGGCAGAAATTCACCTCCAATATAAGGAAACACACACACACACACACACACACACACACACACACACACCCGCGCGCGCACACATGCATCCAGCCAATATCCATTGAGCACTACACCATCTGCCAGACACTGCATGGCAGTTCACATTTACTTCCAGTTCTAGCACTGTCACCTATCACATAACACCCTCATCAGGCATTTAATTTTTTTTCTTTATCTATATAGCAAGGTGTAGATTGTGATGGGTAGAGTAAAAGTAAAGTTCCTTACAAATCTAACAGTATATTTTTAAATTTAACATACTTTATCTGGGAACCCTCAGATAAATGTGACTATATTCCATGTGATAGATAAATTTCTAATTTACTATACAACTGATAGAATTGTGGTCAGTGAATAACTAATTTGTGCTTGACCAATCAATTAGCACTGGAGATCATGAACCCACAAGAGAAAAGCCCTTTGTAATTTTCCTTAGGTGAGGCAGTTTGGCTTCCTTCCTCCTCACTATCTTCTTTCTGACTGGCAGAGCCAGTGAAAATTTTCTTCTGTATAGTTTTTGAAAGAGCACAACCATGCTGTGGAGTTGGATCAGAAAGAAACTATGGAAACTTCCATTCTCTGACCTCTTGCCTGGTGGAGGGACAACAGAAGCAACAGCAGGTACATCTGAAGGGCCTCTGCATTGTCATTATTTCTCGGCCCATATAGTCAGTGACCCGTAGGACGAAGGGCCTTAGTGTCCGATAAGCATTCCTGGTAAAGTCGTCTGTGTCTTCAGTTACAATGTAAACCATCTGGTCCAGGTTGTTTTTAATATCATACTTATTATTAGTTTCAAAATGTGTCATCACTAAAAATAAAATGAGAAAGCCATCTTAAATTAGAAGTAGTTAAAATGGGCCTTGAGAAGGGGAATAAGAGGTACAAACCTCCAGTTATTAAAAACAAAAAAAGTCATGGGGATGTAATGTACATCATAGGAAAAATAGTCAATATTATTGTAATAACTTTGTATGGTGACAGATGGTTACTAGTCATTCGGGTGAGCATACTATAGGGAATATAAATGTCAAATCATTATGCTGTATACTAGCAACTAATATAATATCGTATGTCAATTATAATAAAACTTTTTTAAGTCCTTTTAAAGGCTTAAAGCAAAATGGCTTTTTAAAAACTGTGATTTCTTTTCTTATTTCCAAAACAGGGAGCTGGACTAGAGGCTCAGCAGATTTAGATTCTGCTTCCACCTCTGTCACTGATTTGACGACTTTGGTGCCCCTGGATAACTAATTTTGACCCTTGGCTCCTTTTTCTCATCCATAAAAAGTTAATACGGAGCAATTGTGATGGGTGAAAGGTAGGATGGCTGACAAGATAAAATATAAATCCTTTTCAAGTCTAAGAACTTATATATAATGTATAAATAGGTAAAATTATATAAAATAATTCTCTTTCTTATTTTCTTGAAAAGAGGATATCCTGTTTTGTCCCGAATCACTAAAAAGTGATCAATATAAATAAGGAACTAGATATTGGATAATGCAAATTTCCACCTTATTCAAATACTGCTGAATACTGCTGGGAATTATACATACTTTCCAGGGGCTCAAAATGCTGAAGAACGTGTATGTTGTCCAACTGTTGGGAGAGAACAAAGCAATTAGAGATAGAAATGACAGAATTAAATCAAATTGGCATTAGAAAAGAAACTGATGAGCTAGGTATTAAAATGTATCAACTGAAATCAAAATATCCTTTTGAAACTGAATGGAATATAATTTTTTTTTTATTTTACCAAAAATACCAATTTGAAATCAAGTGAAATTAGCCTATCTGCACCTGACTAGATGGTTATTAGTAGAGCTGTCTGGATAGGAAAACACTTTTTCATAGTTCTACTATAAAAGATTGAAACATTTATCTAAAATATCAGAAAATCATTTAGTAACAGCATCTAGAAGAAGCTAGGTTAACATAGGTTATTTCTACTTAGTCCCTACTCACTGCTCTCTGACATATCACCCACAGACTGGAGTTGCTCAGGAAGTTCAGGACAAATTAACACTGTCATAAAGCAATTTTCTCAGTGGCTTAGGGGAAGTGAATCAGCTAGAGTGTCCAATTTTATATTATTTGCCAGGTACTTCTAAGAGATTAACATATCAACTTCTACTTACTTGAGCTACTAAAGGCCACGGCCTTCCCTAGGTGCACCCTTCAATAAAGGGAGGGTCTGAGAGGGCAGGAAGCATGTTAATAGGATTAAGACAAAGGACAGGAAACTTTCTGAGGTGGGATACCTTGAAACCGGAGGTTGAGAATATCATTAAATAAACTTTTACCTTAACTTTATTTAGGAATCACTCTAAAGAGAGACAGTTTAATGGACCCATTATCTGTTATACTTGAGAACATTCAAGCAGAAAAGAAAAAAAAACCCCTGAGCCCGGAACACTGCCTGAAATGCTATATTTCACTAAATATTTGTTGAATACATTAATTAATGAAAAACACACAAATATGATAATAAAATTTCAAATAACTACACATGAATGTTTTGTGATTTGATTGCTTACTGTAGGGTACCAAGAGTACACACTCCTTCATTAAAACCTTTTTCTTGTATGAAAACACAATCAGGTGAGGGAGTCTAAACAAGTCTTAAAAAATATCAAAAGTGGCCACTGAAAAAAAAACAATCGAGAATGTTAAAATCTAGAACTGAGAAGTAAAAATATTCCCTGCTTGGTAAAAGAATCCATTGCTGAGCAAAATATTCTAAAGAAATAATGCCCATTTATGTAGAAGTTTGCCCACTAATATTATGGCTGTTAAGGAGCAGCTCTCTAACTAGTGGAGTTACTGGACAAGCCAGTACTCTATAAATAATAAAATCTTACTACTTTAGATATTACAGAATCTTGACAGTCCTGACAAAGATTTATGTAATCTGCACATGAGATTACAAAAAAACTAGAATAAAGAATATGATAAAGGACATAACTGGCTCTGTGTCTTTTGCTCACATACAAGGTGTTCCAACTAATAACATCCACATAGTTATCATCCATTGGATGGGCCATGTGTGCCAAAAATATTAGGCACATTACAAATCTTATTCAAGGTTGTAGACTGAGGAAGGAGTAGAGTTTAGGATTAAAAACCAGGTTTGTTGGGCTCCAAACCTGTTTTGTTTCTTTTTCATTTTTTTAAACTCAAAACATTCCTGAAAGGGAAAGAATTCAAGAAATATGTTAAAGTAACTTCTGTCAGAGTAATAGAAGAAATTGAGAAAATTTTTTAACATTTAAATGAATAATATTAAAGCTATTCACTAAAAAAAAAATGACTCAAGATCTTGGGTTTCCCAAAACGATTTGTTATTTATCACTGAGCATAAAAAATTTTCTAAACTTCATTAACTTATAAAGATTTTATAAGCTTCTAAAATAATATAGTTTACTTGAGCACTTTACATGAATGGCTGGCATTACATTTTGTTAATATGTCACTAAAACAAAATTTTGGGCTCATGTAAAATCCAGATTTTCCTGATCCAACTGTATTGACTTTCAAATATGAACACTATAACATTGTACCAATGGTTTTCAATGCAGATTAATAGGGTCTCTATCAGTACATAAAATTGAAGAGAAACATGTCAACTCCAAGGAATACTTGCTTGACTATACTGAAAACACATATATTGGCAAGTCCCTATTGTAATGTATTTCAACACTTCCTCTTTCGAGTATTTCCAATACTAGCTTTATCTTCTTTTCATTAAGCAATCTTTCTGAGTTTCTGACACAGGTTTTTAAACAATACTATTGGCATATCAACTTGGCATAATGTCCCAGTTTCTGAGCTGGGTGTTCTGGGAGCTCCAGAATGTCTATATTGATATAAATTAGGAAGTCACTGTGTTGTGGCAAGGGGTTCTCTGGAACTTAGTCTGGAGCAATACTTAGTAGGTCTCCTATTTTTATTTACATTACATGTTTTGGAGGGTGACAGGCACGGATGATAAAAGCTATAGGTGGTGAGAAAGGGCCATGGGCTAAGGCACTCAGTAATTCGCTCACTGTCCATTGTTCCGTTCTTTTTTATGTTACTTTTCTTGATGTTAACTCTACTTTTAAGCAAATGGCACCCCAATTAGAATCTTTCATAGTTTTTCTTACATTCATATTCCTATTTTTTAAACTGCCTTCAAGAGGACATCCTGAATGTTTTAAAATTCAACACACATCCTTTACGAAAACCATACTCATCTCACCAAAAACGTGCCTATACTCTTTGGTCTCCCTTCACATTTCTGAAATTAGCACCATCACTCCTACAGTCTCATAAACTAGACACCATCACTTTATCGACTCCAGCTTTTTATCTCTTGTTGGATCCTCAGTCACATTTCACTAGAAAATATGAATTGGATTTGTGTGGAGTACCTGGGTTAAGTATTCCAGACCAGGAGGGCAGTCCGGCATAAAAGTTGGTCCTGGCATCCATGTTATTGGAGCAGACTGATTTGGCACTGGGTATTTGCCAGGCTGGTACTGGATAGGATGGGTACCACCAGTTGGCTGGCACAAGGGGAAGGTACTGGGCTGCTGTGGACTATAGTATCCCATAGGCAAGCCTCCTGGATATCCTGCAGGTGGAAGGACAGATGCTCCAGGGGGTCCTGTGTTCAAAAACAAAGTGTTATACATTATTAATACTACAATATGCTAAGTGAAAGAAACCAGATTTTTTTTTTACATGAAGTTAGCATGACTTTTTACACGAAGATGATAGAGAGCACATGGCATCCACTTAAAAATAACAAGATGTTCCAATTCTGAGTGTGTACCATGTATCAACAATGTACTAACCATATTACATATCAACTCATTTAGTCTTCTTAAACTTTATGAGATAATTATCCCTATTTCAGAGCTGACGAAATAAGGTTTGGAACGTCAAGTAACATGTTCTCTATGCATTAGGTTCCTCCTCTGAAAATATAACATACCCACTTCATTAGGTTGTAATGGAATTAGCACAGGGTTAACACACCATTAGTACTGTAAATTTTTGTTGTTTATTATTATTGTTTAAGGTCACAAAGGTAGTAAGGTCTACTTAACTTCAAAAGAGTGCTTTTAATGACTGCTATCCAATCTCAGAACAGTTTCATCCCCCATACCCATTAGCACTCATTCCTCATCTCCCTTCTCCAGCCCCTGGAAACAAATGTCTCTACAGATTTGCCTAATCTGGATATTTTAAATAAGTGAAATCATATAATATGAAGCCTTTGTGTCTGGTTTCTTTCACTTAGCATGTTTTCAAGGTTCATCCATGTCATAGCATGTATTAGTACTTCATTCCTTATTATGGCCAACTAATACTCCATTGTATGAATGTATCACATTTTATGTGTCCATTAATCAGTTGATGGACATTTGGATTATTACTTTCTGGCTATTACAAATAACACTGCAGTGAACACTGGTGTGCATATATATTTTCAATTTTCTTAACTATACACCTAGGAGTGGAATTGACTGGGGCATGTGGTTAACTCCATGTTCAACTTTCTGCAGATTTGCCAAACTATTTTCCAAAGCGGCTTCACCATTTTATACTCCCACCAGAAGTGTATAAAGGTTCTAATTTCTCCACATCCTCATCAATACTTGTTATTGTCTTTTATTTTAGTTACTTTACTGAGTGTGAAGTGGTATTTTATTACAGTTTGAATTTGCATTTTCCTGATGACTAATGACATTGAGCATCATTTCATGTACTTTTGGACATTTGTATATCTTCTTTGAAGACATGTCTATTCAAATCCTTAGTCCACTTTAAAACTGGATCATTTGTCTTTTTCTTGTTGCATTGTAAGTGCTATTTATATACTTAGGATAAAAATTTCTTGCCAGATTATTTACAAATATATTGTCATTCAGTTGATTCTTTATTTTCTTTGTAGCATTCTTTGACACAAAAGTTTTTAATTTTTATTAAGTTCAATTTATCTATTTTTCTTTGGTTGATTGTGCTTTAGGTCTCATATCTAAGAAATCACTGCTTCATCCAAGGTTATACTTATACCTATATTTTATTCTGTAAATTTTACAGTTATCACTCTTACATGCAGGTTTTGACCCATTTTTAGTTTATTTTTGTATACGGTGTAATATGTATTGAAACTCATTCTTTTGAATATAATCAGTTATCTCAGTACTATTTTTTTAAAAAGACTATTCTCTCCCTAATGAATTGTTTTAGCACCTTTGTCAAAATTCAATTGGTCATAGACATTTGGGTTTATTTCCGGCCTCTGAATTCTATCCTATTGATCTACATGCCAGTCCTCATGCCAGTACTATATGGCCTTTTTCTTTTCTTTTTTTTTTTTTTGGCAGAATTTTATGGTTTATTAACAGAAACACAATGTGCACACAAGCTATTCATTTTCTTTGCTGCGCAGCTTGGCATTGGAATTGCTAACTCTGATGGTCAGCTGGGCTGCTCGTTCCACAGTGGCTTTATGGTTCTTTGAGGAGATGTTGTGAGCAATCTCAGCACAGTAAGATTTGTTGCACATCAGCAGCACTTCAAGCTCCCTGACATTGTGGACCAGGAACATCCGAAATCCACTGGGCAGCATGTCCTTTGTTTTCTTGTCACTCCTATAACCAATGTTGGGCATTAAGTCATGGCCGTGGAATCTTCTATATACCCTACTGTCAATGTTCCTGAGTTTCCTCCAGTTACTCTTAATTTTGACATATTGGCCTGACTGGTGCCAGATAAACTTCTTGGTCCTCTTTTTGATGACCTTGGGCTTCACAAAAGTTCTGAGAGCGGCCATGATACAGAATAGGAGATGGCTGCCACCTCCATTGGCAGTGCCAAAGAAGAGAGTACTGTAAGGTTTTGGCTACTGTAGCTTTATAGTAAGTTTGGAAATTGGGAAGTATGAATCTTCCAAATTTTCCCCCCTTCTCAAGATTGTTTGGGCTATTCCAAGTCCTTTGCATTCCCATATATATTTAAAGATTAGCTTGCCAATTTTTTTTTTCAAAAAAAAGCCTTCTGGGAAATTGATAATTGTGTCAAAGCTACAGACCAATTTGGGGGTATTGCCATCTAACAATATTTACTTTTCAAACCTATGAACATGGGATATCTTTCCATTTATTTTAGTCTTAATTCCTTTCAACAATAGTTTGTTTTCAGCATACACGTTTTTACACTTCTTTTATTACATTTATGCTAAGTATTTTATTCTTTTTTATTTTATTATATGTAGAATTGTACTATTACTTTCTTTTGGATTGTTCATTGCTGGTGTATATATATATATACCATTAGATTTTTGTATATTGATATTGTACCCTACTACACTGCTGAACTCATTTATTAATGCTAGCTATGTGTGTATATGTGTGTATTCCTTAGGGCTTTCTATATAAGATCATCTCATCTGCAGATATAGTTTTGCTTGTTTTTCTAATTTGAATAACTTTTATTTATTTTTCCTTACCTAATTACCCTGGCTAGAACCTGTAGTACAATGTAATGCCACATACCTGTGTAGAGCAGGGACTGATATCTCCTGAAAAATGTGATAGTTCCATTAGTAACTGTTCTTTGAAAAGATTACTACAGCAGAATGAAGAATACTTGAGAGAGTGGAATAAGATGGAGAATATACTCTCTTGGAGAACCCCTAAAAATGGGTTTTGGATACCATGAAGATCTGGAAGAAACACCTATTAGAGGAAGCTAGGCTGACTATGAAAAAAAAAAAAGATAATAGCTAACACTTGCTCAGTTCCTTTTATGTTCTAGGTACTATTATAACTACTTTACAAGTATTAAATCTTGTCATTATTAAATCAACCCTATGTGGTTGGTACTATTATTATCCTTAATTTATAGAGGAGGAAACTGAAGCATAAAGAGGTTAAGTAACGTGATGAAGGGTCCATAGTTAGTATGTGGCAGAGTCAGAATTAATAATCAAATATTCTGACTACAGAGGTACCATTAACTAAATTATGATAATACTACCCCCTAGATCAGAGACTAGGAAGAGTAACTTGGAAAATGGGATGCTAGATGATCCTGGAGGGTCTGGAATCATAGACTGGAAGAACAACTGTAGCTAGCAGCTATTTTCAAGTCCTTAAATCCTTAGGTTCTGCACACCCTCCCATCGCCCTTGGGACATCACAGTACAGAAAAAAACAGATTAGCCAACCCAAAGTTGGTCTCAGGACAGTAAGAGGTGACTAGCGTAGAGGCAAAGCAGTGGTCTGAAGTCAGCCAATGCTAAGAAAGCCAGCCACCACCAGGAAGGGACACTGCCTGAGAAGTTCTTTGGGATGAGAAATAAAACAAAGACGGCAACCTCAGTAAGGCAAATTAGAGAGAGGCTCAGATTCCTCTTGGGCATTAAAGGGAAGAGTGGCTTTTGAAGCTGATAAAGTCTGGGACATTTTGGTTACTCATAAAAATACCACTCATGAAAGTCATGAATTGAAAAACGATTTCTCCTAATACTATTTGAGAACAAGGCCATGAAATGAAACAACATTCCTTAATCTAAGAAACATTCCTCAAACCCATTTCAAGGACCAGCTGCCGTGCTTGCTGCTAGGGACGGGAGGATGTACAAAGACATGCTGTCTTCAAGGACATCCCACTCTATAGAGAATACACAGATGTATAACAAAAAGTGAGTGGTCACCATGAAGTGAGAATCTGGTATAATCAGAGGTAGCTGCATAGTGTGTGAAGGGATTACAGAGGAGAGGCACCTGACCTAGGCAGAAGAGGTATCTTATTTTTTAAGTGCTAACACATTAGACCTAGACAGCAACTCCACGATGGGCAAGGGTTTTACAGGGAGAATAGGTACACAATGAGCAGTTGCACAGGGGATTTCAGTACTGCAGGAGTAAAGGGCATGTATGGAGATTGAGCAGATTAGGCCAGGAAAAAAGGTGGGGAGGGAATAAAAATTATGAAAGATCTATATTCTGTGCAAAGAACTTGAACTTATTTGAATTTTATGCTGATAAAATGGAAAGTGGAGTGATTAGTTGTATATTAAGAGCCTTTATGAGTAAGAAGGTTAGAGTAGTTAAAGGTGCTTACAGGAGTCCAGATGGAAGTCAAGAAAGTTTGATTGTGGTGAAAAGACCAGAGAGTGGAAAAATAAGGACATTTAAGAACAGTATTGTCTTGGTAATAGATTGAAAGTGAGAAAAGATTCTCAAGGTCCCGACTCAAGTATAGATAAAGAATAGAGGGTGTGTGTTCAGTGGCAAGATACCAAAGCTGGATTGAGAATCATTGAGTTTGAGACTCAGGGTCATCCAGGGAAAGTGGTCTATAGGCCATTGGAAATGCAAGTTTAGAGCAAAGAGACTGATGTGGTGAGAAGGAATTCATAAGTAGTTAAAGGAAAATGGAACCATGGATATTACCATGGTTTCAATAGATTGAAAGTGAGAAAAGATTCTCGAGGTCCTGACTTGGGTCCCTACAGGTCTCAAGTATAGATAAAGAATAGAGGGTGAAGACTTAGGAGAGAGGGTAAAGGATAGGTGAATGGAAGAGGTGACAGAGAGCAGGGCTGGGAAGGACAAGGGAGTGCACCAAGGAACTCTAGAGAATACCAGT